AAAATTTTCGCTTTGGTGTAAACGTAGATAATCCTGTCTGAGATGCATTAGAATAAAACAATTATTGACTAGAGTGCCATTGAATATGATGTGATATTCACTAGCAGAAAGACATATTGACCTCGGCTATGGCCTCTGTCAATTTTTCATCTGCCGATGAATATCACATCATATTCAATGGCACTCTAGTCAATAATTGTATATAGTAATATATATCCTCCTACATTGTACACGAGTCCAGACCCTTTAATTTTAGATTCTGCCCTTTGTTAAAAACTTAAAAAGTGATATTCTTGATGAAAGAGCTTTAACTTTATGCAATATCATTTGAAGTCAAGCTTTAAACATAAATTTAAATTTCTAATTTTCCATAACTAGGGTAAGGGTCTGTAAAAAAATATTCAATTAGGGTCATCAAAACTGCTTCAAGGTCAAAGCAGGGAGGTACACATGTAATTTTAAAGGAATATTATTATATTCTATGTTGTAAAATTAAAAAGATAAAGAACTGCATACTATAACTTCCTAAAATTACTTAATGCAAAACTATGCTAATTTAAGTTAGACTAGTTTTGCACTGCTGATTTTTTGTTGGTTGAAAAAAAAAATTTGTGCAAAACACATACTAAGTTGACTTAACCTAGTTTTGCAGTAACTAATTTGATCAGTTTGACTTAGCATGTTTACTTGAAATTTAAATATAATCACTAATACAGGGAATATGTTCAAAATATTTTGAGGGATAAAGGGGTGTTTGATTAGCTTTCAGAATTTATAAAAAAGTCCATTTTGGTGAAATATAGACTTAGATGAGTTTTGCGTTGAGCCATCGACATGTAACAAAAGCAAAATTTCAAACATTCACCCAACATGTGAGAGGATGACTAAAACACACAAATATACTCAAATATATTATGCAAAATAACTACTGAACAACAAAAGGCATCATTATACATCAACAGTTTAAAGTCTGCTTACATTTTATTTTCACTGAAATGAATAGTTAGTAACACAACCAGAAAAACAACTTCAAACACTAAGCAACTTCAGACAAGTAAACAGTTAAGCCACAGTATACCAACAAAATTTAGGTTCACAGTATTCATTTTTTATAGGACATCTATGGGGAATGTCTTTCTTGTGGACATTGATGCATTGCTCATAAACTGGAAGTACAATCCTAAACTTTGTTAACAGTTCTGGATTTCTCTGTGCTTCTGGCTCATCACAATGGGCACAAATATCTGGTCGTCCAATGTTGGAGGCACAGTAAGGTAACTCCACGTGAGATTGGCATGACATCTGCAGTCATACAAACACTCTCCCTTGCAGAGCATCTCCTATGAAAACAGACAGAAGGCTAGACTTTATGCAATACAGATTTTGCCAAAAATGCAATTATTTTAACTTTTTTTAATTATACAAACACCATGGGAAATATGTAAGAAAGAATAAAATCAGGTTTCTACTTTCAGTTGATTATGTAAAAACATTTTGACATCACTATTTCAAGAAAATAAGCACAACAATGTGCAATACCAATACTAACCATCAACTGTAATGACTGAAACACAGTTGTAATCAAATTTCTCAAGGTTGTGTTTTAGAGATCATGTTTCCCTGTCAATTTATTCTTGGAGTAAATACACCTTGGTTTATCCGCATTCAGTGCCTTGCATTTTGAGCCACTAGAAGACTATTCTTAAAGCCCTGCAATAATGAGAAAATGTGATAAACGAGTGCTGAAATGGTTCAAATACTAAGACAGGTGGTACTGAAAACAATAAGATTAGTGCATTTGCTGGTTGAAGAAAATGATTATTAAATAAATACTGGTACTTATAAATGAGTGAGTACATACAAGAAACTTTATTTATTTACAAAAACTTTATTTTAAGTCGATTACATGAGCACTCGGTAAGTTTTTAACCCAAACCAGTATTTAAGCATACCATAAGAACGTCCGATTTTTTTCGGGTAAAAATCCTCGACGTCATTCAACAGATCGACCCATGCCCAGACAAATTCATTCTCGTGGAGGTTATTTTTCAACAAAGTTGAATAAACGTAATAATAAATGTTGACGAGATGATAAAATACTCGTCTTCTTGAAGATCTTCTAACTTTCGTTTTGCAAACTTGTAACGGATGTGTACACAATCGACTTTTACCCGGCGGTACTTGATAGTCGATACACGTGACGAATAATACGCGGGAACCAGAATACTACACGCCGTTATTGAACGGATATCGGTAAAAATATGCGGCACCAAAAAAAAAAAAAAAAAAAAAAAATGGTCGGCGAGAGCAAATAAAATTTTTCGGAGCGCAGCGTTTTTTTAGGGTCGGTCGGGAAATTTTCATCAATCAACGGTCATTTATTAATCAGATAAGAGTGACAGATTTTGACCATTACAATTACATATCTTCATAGCCCATATTGTATCAGCTGACAGAGTAAATATTTGGATACAGTCACTTCATCCGAACTAATCCAATTATCACTAGATAAAATCATCCAATCATCAACCATCGTTTCAATGTCATTCAATTATCAGCCTCCATGGAATTTGATACATGAATTATTTCTATAGCACTAAAGTATAGTAAAATAGAGTACAATAGAAAATAGCACACTTGAGGTAGACATGGAGACTAGGGGAAACCTGTTTGATTGGATTGATCTGAAAGAATAAATAGAATTATTGGTGGGCTTTAAAATGAAATGATTAAATGCTTTGTAAAATAGAAGAACTGGTGTGTAACAATGACTGTCTGATGTGCTTTTAATCATTTGAATTACATCTGTGAATTAAAGGTCCTGTGAAGTGAACATGACAATTTATTATGGCAACTGAATTAAAACAACTTGCCTTTCATCTCTGTGGGGTTTCTATATAGTTACCAGGGAGTCAAAGATTTAGAATTCCTGCATGTGACACCCTGTTGTTTGCTACTTGCCTTTTCCCCTTTTCACATTAATTTCAGTTTTATTTCTTTTAATTGGCTAACTTTGACTTTTACCTAAAAGTGTAAAAAATGGGCTATGAAAAAAAAAACAACAACAAATTTTGCTTAATGTATATATGCTGTAAAAAAACCCATCTGAAATAGGAAACTTGTCTTTGATGATTCAGCATGTTCCTGCTATAGGGATGTTCCATTTATGTTCAGTTGAACTACAAAAGAAACACATGTGTCAACTTTAACTCTAAATGGATGATTGACAGTTGTCAATACATTGTTAATTGAAATGTAATTAACATGGCAAAGAATTGTGGGTAAAACAGGAAATGCTGTCAGCATGTACTGCTTTAGAGACCAAACATATTCTGGTTGGGCTTGTTACTGCACTTTTAGAAATGAGAATTGAAAGGACGTTTTTTTTCTTTAGTTGGATGACGTTATTAGGTATGTAGTTTAGACCAGCAGGTGGTACAATGTATGTGGATTGAACAATAAGTCTGTATTGTCTATGGTTAAGGCTGTTTCATGTGTCAACTCATTAATGTTTACATTCTAATGAAATTGTCAACATAATCTATGAAACATGTTAAAAAGTAAATATGCCAAAACCAGAGAAAGAATGCTTTATAAAACCTTTCATTGAATTATTAATTGTCAGTCATTTTTATGTACCTGGGCGACCAAATGTTTTATTTTGGTTTTATAAGCAGGTGGATCTCTCTTGTTCCAGGAAATGTATCATCAATATTTTGCTCAATAATTGAAGAAAGAATAAAAGGCAAAAATGGCAGGTAAATAAGTGCTCTCCGCCCCACATTTATGCCTCAAATAGAACAGTTTGGTCACCAATAAATAGAACTCTGGGAGCTTTAGGGCTTTGTGAACTTGACAAGTGAACATTTCATTTAGTTATCATCAGTTAAAACAATTATAATATGTGTGAAAAGATTTACTTTTATCTGTTGTTTGAGTTTTATTTGAGCAGGACTTGACCTGCTTTTAATGTAACATTTTTAATAAGCCCTTAATTACCATGCTAAATATCTTAAATAAACTTGTCCATCTTATAATCTGGACTAAAACATTCATCGTTTTTGGGTAAAATTTTCAGATATGTGCTGACTGAAAAGCAAAAGCAAAAAGTGGAGACCATGAACTTTGAATAGTTTGTCCCTGGTCATAATGAGTTCAAGTCTTGCAAAGAAAATTGAATCTGTTAATAAGGAGTGGTGGAGTAGGGGGTGGGGGGCAGTATTACTAGATTAGCTTTTAATTATTTTTATATGAAGAATTTTTATAAAGAATTTCTGGCATATTATATTATAACCCCTGGCATCCGTCCATACGTCTGTCTGTCTATCCCCACTCACAGGACAGTAATTATGTGGCTAGAGGGACAATAGGTAACTGTTCTTTCTCTTTGATGTCATTCATTCGTTAATGCTTTTATGTGGCTATTTTCTTTTGTGTGGCTAAAAAGAACAATAGAGAGAACAATAGAGTAGCCACATTATTATTTTCCTGTTAGAACGTCTGTCCATCTGTCTGTCCGTCTGTCCGTTAGCAATTTGGTTTCCAGAGCATAACTTAAGTTCCATTTGGCCCACAATATTCAAACTTCATAGGATGATTGTCCGTATTGGGTAGAAGACCCCTATTTGATTTTTGGGTCACAAGGTCAAAGGTCAAGGTCACTATTGCTTTAAAACTGAAAACAGTTTCTAGAGCATAACTTAATTTCTATTTGGCCCATAGTGTTCAAACTTCATAGGATGATTGTCCATATTGGGTAGAACACCCCTATTGATTTTGGGGTCACAAGGTCAAAGTTCAAGGTCGCTCTTACCTGAAAACAGTTTCCAGAGCATAACTTAAGTTCCATTTGGCCCACAATATTCAAATTTTATAGGAGGATTGCTATTTAAAGGAGGTTTATACATGAAATAATGCATGAGTTCTAGCTGTTGCTTACTTTTAAATAAAACTAGAATAATGTTATACATGTATGACATATAAATCTTTTTTAAAATGAATGAAAAAACAACAATAGTGGAACACATAGACTTGTCATCTGGCACAAATTACATTCTCTTCCCATTAATTACAGTGCATCATTTAAAACTCTCTTAAACAAACATGTCAGCTTGAAAATGCAGTGGTGGAAAAACTATCATATTTAATTCCTGGGAGGATAACATTTGATTGATATGTTTATTTTGTGACTTAGTAAAATTGAGCTGGAAAAACCATTTCCAGGGAAAGTTTGTAAAAACCAACAATAAAGGTGATTTGTTATAATGATTAATGTACATGGTAATGATTAATGTACAAGGTAATAGATAGTGGTAACATGATTGGAATGATTTATGTTAAAATTTTAACATAGATATATGAATGTATGATTGTTTATTACAGGGACATAAACTAATGTGAGAATGTCTAGCCTATTATTGAGCCGTGTTATGACAAAACCAACATAATGGGTTTGCGACCAGCATGGATCCAGACCAGCCTGTGCATCCATGCAGTCTGATCAGGATCCAAGCTGTACACTGTCAGTTTCTCTACTTGTTATAGGGTTTGTAAGCGAACAGCGTGGATCCTGATCAGACTGCGCGGAGGCGCAGGCTGGTCTGGATCCATGCTGGTCGCAATTCCATTATGTTTGTTTTGTCATGGAGCGGCTTTATATTATTATAAACTAAATGTTAATTGGGGGGCTCAGTGACTTTATCCACCCAATTGAAATTTAGTCCTGACAAGACATTGACAACAGCCTGGATTTGTGGACACTTTGTTTAACCAGAGATGAGCTAATTGGCCTTAATGTTTATTATATGATAAGGTGCCGGCCTCTCAACACAGGAATCGCGGGTTCAAGCCCAACTTAATCACCACCATGTTTCCTCATATGATGCCAGTACTGGTTGGTGTCAGGCATTGGTCTTGTAATAGAAAGACAATTATTTGTTTCATACATCATTATGCATGTTGATCAACTCACTGGGTTTATTTGTTGCTCATTAATTTAATATAAAAAAAAAATATGTGTACAATAAAATCAATTCCTGTTAATTGCATGGTAAATTAATGAGAAAATTGTTCCATATTTTCAGAATTTACAGTGTGGGCTGGTACCTGATTTAGCATCTGTATTTGACTTATTTACTAATAGGATACTGGGAAACATGCAATTTCTCTATTTATTTTAGACAAGCAATCATTTAACTGTATTTAACTTTCCGCCAAGTTGGTAATGTCATCATCATTTCCAGATGAGCTTCAATTATAACTTTGATTGACTGCAAATTTATTGATCAGGTACCAATAATATGACATTGTTTTTGTCTTAATTTGCATTTGTAAAATGTCCTGTAACTTTAAAGAGAAAACATGTTGATGATAAGGAATAAATTGAGTCACATTGTTCACTGTTACAGATTAACCTGCAAAATTTCTTAAAGGCCCATTATGCCCCTTCAGGGCAGCATATTAAAATTGCACCTTCCGTCTAAATTCTGTGTGCCCCCACTAATTTCTGTTTTTCAAAAAATGACTTATTGGCCAATTACTGTACCTGGTCCATATTTTGCTTCTGTTACTTTTTGACATTACGTACAGTCATAGTGATTTAGTACTTTGTATGGAAGCCAAAATCCCTGGCTGGATTCAAACCCACAGTGGTGAGGGGCTATGGGTTTGAAGTCAACGGCTTCAACCACTCTTATAAACTTCAATGGCCTTATTGTGATAGAAATCCACAGTCTTCCTCCACCAATTCAGCTTGAAAGTAACACTATTACCTGTACTACCTTGCTGTGATGCAAAAACCAACAAAAACTGGAACTAACCTGAGTATTCTTGTTATTTGTCTTGCCATGGCCATGATCTTAGTAAGGCTTGAACCCATGATCCCTGAGTTGAGAAGCAGACAACCTGCTAGACCACTGTTTACTTTATAGCTAAATTGCAGATTATAGCATGTTGTATCTTCTAATATCATATTCCTGCTCTTTCCAGAATAGAAATACTATTTATTGTGTTTTATACAAACATTCATAATTTCTATAAAATTTTCACTGATATCTATTTTACTGTTTTCTGGTGGTTCTTGAAAGATTATTTTAAGTATAAATTTTCAGTTAATATAATAACTGATAACTATTATATTGTTTTCTGGTGGTTCTTGAAAGATTATTTTAAGTATAAAAATGCAAATGATTTGATTGTTAATTGCAATGAGTTAGTGCCTGAGTGATTGTCATTTATGTGATGTTGCTGTTGATTCAAGGCTCTGTTTGTGTGCCACCTATAATTAAACATTGTGTGGGAATTA